TATCTGGCTATATAGAGGCTGTATAGTTGTCAGAGAAGATGCAATATGTAGTCTAAAAGTATTGGTAGTTAATAGATCATCTAGTTCTGTTTCTAATATATTCTATAGGCTATCTATAAGCTATAGGTATATTGTTATTATGATCAAATATAGATATATGGTTGTTATTTTTTTTATAGTTGTTTTGTAATGTATATGAAATGATGTTATAGTAGTGTTTAATAAAGTAAGCTAGATTTGCCAATTTTTGAATATAAAAATAAGTGAAAAAACATTTATATCATTGTTTTTTGTTTAGATGTTTATTTACATAATTAATATGATTATCTTTAGTTGTGTTGTTGTTGTCTATTATATATACTTTTAGAGACTGTTAGTGATTTATTTTCTGGGTTCTCTTCTCTTAGTTATAAAATAACCTTGTAAATTGTGTTGTGTGTTGAGTTGTTATTAATTTTATCTTTTATTCTTTTAGATGTTCTATAAAATAGATAAACAAACTCCAAACTCTGCAACTTCACTATTAAAAATTAATGATTACTAATCATTAGCAAAGCTTATTTCTTATATTGTCTACCTATTCTATAGAACATCTGTTCTTTTAGTTATTTTAATACTGTATTTGCTATATTCTGAATCAGTTAAGTTTGTCAGGAGTATACTACACACTTCCTGTTATTGTTTTATATAATTATTTAATTATAATCTATAGTTTTTCAATTTTTTACTTTTTTGTTTACTTAATTTTAGTGGTATATAAGAAAAAGTTTTTTTTTTAACAAACTTCATATTGTATTTTTATCTAGTTAACTAAATATTTTTAATATATAAATAAAATTATTTTTATTTTTTTTATAGTAACTAGTATATAACCTGTTGCATTGCTCTGAAAATTTATTTTTACAAATTATATGTTTATTATAAGGTATTTTAATATTTAAATAGCTTGGTTGAATCTAAAATAAGCTCAAATAAACCTAGCTTGGGTTTATTTAAATTTGAAATAAGCTTAATAAACTTGTCTTGGTTCATTTAGCCCGAAGCAGACTAAATTAAACTTGACTTGGGCTTATTTGAATTGAAGTAGGCTTAAATTAACCCAACTTGGGTTTATTTGAATCTGAAGTAGATTCAAATGAACATGGCTTGGTTCATTTGAACTCAAAATAGATTCAAATAAATCTAGCTTGATTCATTTGAACCTGAAGTAGACTCAAATAAACTCAGAAGTGGGCTAAAATAAACCTAGTTAGGTTTATCTGCACTGGAAGTAGACTTGAAACCCACTTAAAGATAATCTGATACACAATTTAAATTATTTATACATGGTAAACTAAACATGAATATATTAAAATCAAAATTATTGATTATTTTATTTAATAATACTAAAGTATTCCAACAATATAGTTGTTTTTATTGATCAAAATTCAACACTTACAGATTAAAAATATATTAAATAGCTAGAATATTTCTGAAGAATTTAGACGAATACATACCATACATAACTTATGAAAAGTTTGTCAAAGTTATACAAAAATATACTAAAAAAAAATATTTGAAGCAAAAATACCTTAGTCTTCAATTGTAGTATAATCGCAAAATTTGAATCCTATTGTAAATTGCATTGTTATGGGTCCTTTTTTGATATTTGGGTGTACCTCATTATAACCTGATCACGAGCATCTATGTGTTCTATTTTAGATACTCATGATCAGGTTTTTACTATAATGGGTATACCAAATTCATATACGTACGTACATATGTACGTAACTATGACAAACTTTTTTTTTTTGAAGCAACTGTACGCACATACTAGATATCTCATATATACATCTATTAAAGCCAGGTGCATTCAAATATTGATGCATAAATTGTATTATTGATATTTATAAACTACTTACCATAACTGCATCAAAAGTAAGAACATGCTTCGATCAAGATTAAGGATTTGATCAGTCAATCAGCATGATATACATGTAAGGCTATACAACGCGGAATAAAACTAAAATTAAGGTTGTATGGCCTAATTATTATTAAAAACTTACTCTTATTGTATATAGGTAGAAATCTAACACACAAACTTATAATGAAGAAAGCTTGATTCATATATATATCTCACCCTTGAATAAAGCAGCACTTATACTTATAGATCTCGATCAGAACATGGGTTATAAAGAAGGTCTGTTTAAAAAAGCTGCAAGTTGAATGAAACCGGGAATACAAAATTCAAAAGATTTTTACTGAAAGATTTCTGGGTATATGATGTTTCGTGTTTCATTGATTTGACTTTCATTTTCTTCTTGTGCAATAATAAGAATCTTTAAATTGTTTCTTGATGTGACTCTTGAACAGGCGACATACAATTGTCCGTGAAAGAATACAGGGGTTAGTAGGTATAAACCTACCCAATTCAATGTCTGTCCTTGAGATTTGTTAATCGTCATCGCGAAAGCTGGTTGAACTGGGAATTGATGACGTTTAAGGGTAAAAGGTAAGTTGATATTAGAAGGTGATATTGAAATACGAGGGAGAAAAGCACGGATTCCAGCATATTTCCCAGTTATGATTTCTGCTTCAATAACATGTTTCTGAAAGGAACAGCAAATCATCCTGGTTCCATTACAAAGACCAAAAGACAGATGAATATTACGTAGTAATATAATTGAAGATCCTAGCTTTAATGTCAATTTATAGGGGAAAAACCTCAAGCAGATAATGAGTTAAGAAATTTTATTGGATATTGATGCTCTGACTTGGTATGTTTTTTGGTTGTGTCAGCACTGAGATACTCGACTGCCTCACCAGGAAATTGATACATAATTGTAGAGTTAATGACATTGACATAGTTATTCTTTGGGGTAAGTATTGCACGTTCAACCAAATATTAGAGATTAGAATGCACAAAAAGATTAGGATAAATGAAGTCGATCAAGCTATTAACATCTTGAGATTGTAAGACAAAGTTCCTGAGAATTTTGATTATATCTGTTTCCAATCCATTGATAGGAGGAATATGACCCTCTCCAATTTTAAGTAGCCATTCGGTAAATTCTTTTTGTGCTTCAGCGTCTGGCTCATTAGCAGATTGAAGGAGGCGCATGTTTGTCTTTAACTTCATTACCTTTACATGTCTCCACAGATAAAATCGTTGCAAACAGGATCCCACGATATCTTCATGACCTCCTTTTAGTACTACAGGGAGTATTTGACGAAAGTCACCTTCAAATACTATAACCTTTCCCCCAAAAGGTTCTCTCTCCAATGACTGATCTATAGCTTTTATAAGATCTTTTAATGTTCGATCTAGGGCCTCAAATGCATATCTATATGTCATTGGAGCTTTATTCTACACAATAAAACGTGCTTGCTGTAGTAGTAATACTAAGTTGAAACTATGTGACACAGAACAGATGGAGCCTTCTTGTAGATCAAAAGAGATTTTAAATCGGGAATGAGCTGTATAGCCACCTAGTAAAAGAAGAGCAGCAATGCCCGAAGAAGCAATAGCGAGTGCAATATATCCCATCAGGTGGATCTTTGCGAGTAAAATACTATATAATAAATTAGTAAGTTAATGTTGTGTAAGTGTAAAATAATCAGGGCCAATGATTTTCTGCAGCGATATTTATTTATTTTAAAACAAATAAATATCACCACAAAAAATCAGCAGTCCTGAAAATAATTTTCTTGCCTGTATAGGAAGGTTTTTCCAGTTCTACATGGACTGTCAATAAAGTAAACAAAAGAAATTCCAGCTTTCACAGTGGCAATAACACTTATATACACAGCTCGCTAATCCATATTTAGGTGGAGAAGATCATTTTCAATAAGGTTAGTAAGTTCTTCTACATCATATTGTTGTTCTTCACTTATCAAATGATTAATTTGTTTATTATTAAGAAAAGTTGTAGGGAGAGGCATGTTCAGAAATTTATCAAGACGTCTTTCATGTCTGTTTAAGATAGTTTGTAGATTATGAAATGCCCTATTGTATATATCAGCATCTGTAAGCTCAGGTGTCATATTTCCTGTATTATGGCGAACTTGAAAAAGAATATCATCACTGAGTGCTGAAATGTGGTTTTCTCAAAGTATTTCAGGTCTAGTCGGATTGCAGAATATCAGTAGAGTTGCGAACAAATAACGTAATTATGCTCCTGATTGTATTTGTTCAGCTTCTGCTAAGCATCGATTCCATTCTTCGTTATCTTGCAATAAGCCTAATGCTATACATGCTTCTTTGAAAGTGCTATAGGTTATTCCTTCTACTGTGCGGAGATTTTTAAAAGAAGTTGCTCCATGAATCACATTTAGCAGTATTTGTAGATAATATTGTTCGCCTGCCGCAGGATGAACAAAGAATACACGACCGATGGTATTATCTTTTTTTATGGATAGGCAATATAATAATTTATGTAAGCAATATCTTTTTTTAACCCTTAACTATTTTAATACAGTCAACCCTCTCTATAATCACACAATCGGATGATAGTAACCTTTTTTAAAAATGTGTTTATAAAGAGATTGGAGGTTTTTTTATATATTTTTAATAATTTGGTTACAAAATTAGGTGCTTATATAGAGGTGTGATTATATAGGGTGTGACTATAGAGAGGTCTAACTGTATATTGTTATTTAATTAACATTTATTATGACCGTTACAATTCACAAATATAATTTGAAAGGCATAATTCTAATATTTAAATTTTGCCGATCAGTAACACATTTGTAAGCTTTTTTTTTTTAACTTAATTACTTAATACGTAAAAAAATGAATGCAATATTAAGTAATATAAGTAATAGTACATATTAAAACATTCATTTCTAACCTTTTTGTCTCGGTTTCCATTTTTTGGTCCCTTATCATATACCCACTGAGTTGAAAAGTCTGCATAGATAAGCCTTCTTGCCTCTGGATACATTGCATTGGCCTTGAACCAAGCTGTAAGAGTTGTCTTCTCAGTACTGGAATGATTGATTATATCCTCCAAAGGCTCATTATCTTTAAAAACCACCCTATGTTTCCTCAGAAGATGAATATGTAACTGCATTATGTCTGGCTTCTTATTATGCAGATGGTAGTGAAATATTCTTCATGATGCTTCTAATACTGAAATATAGCGAGCATCAAGGAAGAGCCATATTTCATCATCTATTTGTCCTTGCTCATGTACACTCCTTCCAATTTCTACAGTTGCACGATCATGGCCCTTGTATACATATTTAAAAAGATACTTTATAGCGATAATTGAGGAACAAATCTCTATGTTGATGTGGCAATCATATTTAGTTATGAGATATGAATTATATGGTACCACCCAACGGTTGTCCAATTGAAAGGTTTTTCCTTCTCTTTTTACATTTACAGTCGGACCGCAACTCCTCCGCCTATAGACAGGATAACTGCTTTCATTTTCTGTAGTATTTTCCTAAAATCCTCGTGGATATCCTTTAGTACATTGTTTGTTCTTCATACATGGTGCATTTGGTATGATCGTACTATATGGTCTGTGCATCATCAATCGTTGCATAGTGGCAAATGTATCTGGGTCACTGATCATATTAGGAATTTCCGCAGATATTATTGTATTATAGTCTGCAATGGTTTTTGGCTTATACTCTTGAGCAAGGATGAGAAGAATATGGGTATGTGGAAGCCCATGTTTTTGGAATTCTATTGTATAAAGATAGGCTACCACTGTTCCAAAAATATTTATTTTCAAAATATCGTTTAGTATTGCTTTTAACTTCATGTTGAAAACACGGCTAATTAGATTGAGACGATCTTGCGCAGTTTGTTCTGAAAGGAGCGTATTTTTAATCTTGGGCCAGTTCAGGTTGCAATTCACCGTAATGAATAGGTCAGGTTTTCCGAAAGCACGTACAATCACCATTCCATCCTGGTACAACTTGTGCATTTGTTGAGGCCCACCTGTAAAACTTGATGGTAATATAATTCGTTGTCCTATGTTTGTTTTACTATCTCCTGATCTTAAAGCATCTTGAAGTTCACAATATAACCCTGCATACAATTCTAATTGGTAATATCTTAGATAATTAAGGCGTGTCTGCTCTATTACTGCATACATATCAACAATCCACTATTGGAAGAGGCGCCCATACCGATGTAAAGTTAATGCTTCACCAGAGCGACCAACCTGAAGATGATAAGCAAAATAGTTCATTGCTGTAACACATTTATTTGACTCACTTTCTTCATTCTCATTGTTTATATCAGCCTCCTCCTCATTCTGTATATTAGAAGTATTACATATTGGAATATTAGGATACCACCCATTCTCACCTCTGGGAAACATAAGGACATAATGAAGTGGAGCATACCCACGATGTAGTTCAGATATCTGTTGCAATCCACCTTCATATGTATGCAGCACAATATCCCGATTTAGCTGTTCTGCACCTTGTACATCTCCTACCATAATAATAGCAACTTCTGATGCATTAGGTGCATTATAATGTTGAGGATTTTTTGTTTTGTTATTCGTGATTATTAACTTCAAGTCTAGTGATTGATCATGCCTTAACAAATTGGCAGCTTGCTGAAATACATTAACATATAGATTAATGTTGTGTAATATCTGCTGAAGTTCTATAAGAATAGTAGAGTCAAGTCTGAGCATTATATTTAACCTATTTTGCAATTCATTATCAGTATCGAAGATGTACATTTGAGCAAATTGAGGTTGGATTTCAATATCAGGAAACAGAATGCCTATTCTGTGATACATTTCACCATGAATACGAAAGGTGTAAATGCCGCCAGTTCCAGTAACCTTAGGATTAATCTTAGCTCCTATAGATGTAAAAGCTAATGCCGAATTGTACATTCAAATATTGTAGCGAAATGAGCGTAAACGTGGATTGGTTTTAGTAAGAAGGAAATCAAGAGGAGGGGGTAACTTCTGAAGAGGGGAAAGAGAGACCTTGCTATTCGCGCAGCATATAGAGAAAGCGGGTAATCTTACAGATGTGTTAGTTATTCTTTCATCAAAGCTTCACACTTCAAACATTTATGACTCATGCTGCCTAATGTATGACGGTGCAAATCATGCAAAGTTCAGAGATAGACACGTGCTTTTGGAATCTCACCAGATTTAACAGCTTTTCTTTTTTTTCGACTATGGCAACTTTGCTGTCGTTCACGTTGAAGCCTTTTTTGACATTCTTTAGGAGTTTCGTTGTTTATATTTCAAATATTTTTATAAGTTAAGCCTTTAATTCTT